GAAGCCGTTGCGTCTTCGGCCTCAGCCGATCTTTGATGAAAGGCACTCTGATCGGAAGATCGTGACACCGCCGGAAGATCAGGATGAAAGGCCAGGCATGGAGAATCGAGCTGACTTTTGTGGTGGACCTGGCGGTCAAGCAATTGAAAAAAATGATGGTTAGCGTTTTGGTAGTACACTACTGTTTGGGTATGTCGGAGAGATGAAAAATACGCGCAGAGGCGTCAGCAAATGATAGGAGAACGAGCGGGATGGATGAAGAAGGCAGAAATGAAAGAGGAGAAGGGCTGAAGTATAGAGTCACGGACGTTTCGGTTCATTAATCTCTGAAAATCTTAATTCTCCGACAAGTGTAGTTGTAGAAATACAGGATGAACTGAGACAGAAGAGTTTAGCATAGAGCCAAACGACCGCCAGTACAAATATCACTTCTTGTGCATACTGAGTCCGCAGATCTGAAACAAGTTTGATCCCAAGGGAGTAACTTACTCGGGTTTGGTCCTCGGTAACGGTAGAATTAACTGTGTACCGGCTTATTTTCAACCGGCGCTGGGACTGTAATCCGGTGGTCTGAGCAGCTGACACTACCTTAAGTATCCATTCACTACTGAATTGCGAAACTATTTTTAAAAAGTTTTTGCTAGCGTCAAAATGTACTGGACCAGAATCTGCTTATGAATGAGCATTAGGTAGGTTAGTATCAAACAGACATCTCTGTTAACATCGAAAACTCGAGATCGGTTTTTGTACAATAACTTATTGTAACATTATTAAAATCAGTGTACAAATATTTGTTTGGATAGGAGTAAGAGCTGCAGTCCATAGATTGATCCGCTAGCTGAGCATGTAACTGTCAACTTCTTTAAATGCTCAGACCAATACTGCATCATCTGGTAGTCATCAGCCTGTTGGTGATCTTAACGTTCGTTTCTTCTGAAAACCACCAGTCCAGTGTTCTGATAAAAACTCTTAGTGGAACTTTATCGGTTTCGAAATATCCTTGGTGTGTATCGAATAACGTCACCTCCTGAGTAACGGGACAAAATTTTTGCCTTATCTTAGCCTAACGCAGTATTTCTTGAGTTGTCTAGTACGAAGTGGTAGCATTTCTTCTCCAGTGCAGACTTTGTACCATCCCACACTTCTGATTGGAAAAGTTTTCTGAAATTTCTGGACTTTTTTTCTGATGAAATCTGTACAAGTTTTCGGTGAGAACCAGTACGGAATTTGAAAAAAATTCTAAAAAAATTGAAAAAACGAAAACTAGATAATAAAATTTTCTAAAGGACAGTACAGCGCGAGGCTATAAATAATATCGAGGAAGTCCATCGCATGAACAGTACCCCTGGACATATCTTCTACAGTTTTGCAGCTCCTGCGTCGAGATACTGTAGAGCGTACTGTCTTAATGTAAAACTCAGGCTTCAGCTTTTTCAGATGATTTTCTTGACGAAGATGATTCTTCATCGACCAGTTCAGAAGATGGTGCGGTCGAGACGAGTCGGAATTCGGACGAACAGGATTCCAGCTTCGATGTTATTTCACTTCCTTCTGGTGAAGATGAACTGGTAATCTACTTTTTTTTTT